TTCCTGCCTGCCTGCCTACCTGCCTACGTACGTACCTACCTACTTACATGCATCCGTTGCAACTTGTGGTTGTGTGAGGTGAAGAGCTATGTAACCCAGAGGTTCCCCATATGCTGTCACTCTGAAATTGGCTCCCAAAAGACCACCATTACCGTATAGTTTCGGGAAGCTAGTTCCATATTGACAGTATATATGGACACTCGTGGTAAGTAGGAGCTATGTACCTAAACCCCCCCAACTACACTCTAATGTCTAATATACCCTGTATACCACCATTAAATCCCATAAGGACTCTATTAACAGGGCACTTGGGCGTCATGGTTTGTAGGCCTTTTCGTCGTAGATCATCGTGTGGAACCCTAAACCCTGAACCCTTATTTGACCCAAAACCCTAAACCCCTAAACCTTGGACACTAGCCCAGCGCCGAACGCAGCCAACAGAGCTCAAGCCAGCCAGCCTTTCCTCAATGGCTCCTTGTTGCCCTTGAAGGGCTCCTTTAAGGGTTCCTTTAAGGGGGTCCCCATATTCCAAAATGTAGGGTTTCTATTAAGACTTACTGTTATGATTTGGGGATGTATCCCCCATAACATTACCTAGGACCTTTTGGATCTTGAAGGAGTTTGGGAATCTGCAAGGTTTTCAGAACTTTTTGTTTTTGTTTACATGAGTGCTTTTCAGATGTCGCTACGAGGTGTTCTAGCAGTTCTGTACGGGTTTAGGGGTCAAGGGTTTCGAGGAGTGACTGTGAACAAACAGACACTTAGTTCCCGGACGTGGTCACAACCTACCATGTTGTAGGGTTTTGGGTGTCAAGTTCACCTTTTGAGCCCAAACCCCTAAGGCAGGCTCCCTTGAAATTGAATGCAATCGCAGTTGTCAGTTTGACAAGCCCCCCTAAACCCAAAACCCTAACCCCTAAACCCTAAACCATGCATAAAGATGGCGATAGCTTTGAGATGGAAGACGTACCTCAGGAGCCGGTTGGGAAGAACGGTTTAGGGTTTAGGGCTTTCAGGGGTTTAGGGTTGAGGGTTTAGGTTACTGGTACAGCTTAAAACGGAAGTCACCACAGCCTGGCGGGATTTGTATAGAGCTGCCTAAACGGGTTGAATAAGGCCCAGTTCCTGAAGGCTTCTCGGGGGTTCAGTGTTTTCATTTTAATTAGTTTAGTTTAGGTTTTAGGTTTCACGTAGAGGATGGTGGGACCTGAGAATTGCTATACCTACAAACACTGATAGCCCCAAACTTACTAAGTCCGATGTTCCTCCGTGTCGGTTTCAGCTTAGCGTGTAAAGTTCAGGTTTTGCCCTAAACCCTTTGATACCCTAAACCCAAAACCCCTAGAGCTCAACCTTAAACCCGTCGAACCTGCTCCCCCCTTATAGACCCTCAACCCTCAAGCCCTTGAGCCCTAATTCCTGAGTTCCGAAACCCTAGACCCTAAAACCCTTAACCCTGAGTTCCTGAGCCCTAAACCCTAAAATCCAAAACCCTAAACCCTTTGTAAAGTCCTAAAGCTTTAAAACCCGTCCTTCAGGAGCGACAGTGGTTGGACACCGAGCCTGACTCTTGCGAGGTGCCGGTTGAAGTTTTTGATCCATGACTTTTTTTGATTTCTGAATCTCTAAACCCTAAACTCCTCAGCCACAAAGCTTAATCCTAAAGCAGAAGCCTTATTCGAAAAGCCTAAACCACGAACCCTCAACCCTACTCCAATCACCGTCTACCCTAATCCGAGACGCGAACTGGAAGCACGGGAATATTTCACGTTATACATGTTAAACCACGTTTGCCCTCCCGCGCATGGTCCAAATCCTAAGATTTTCTGTCTTTGCAAAATAGTGGCTGGATAGTTAACTCGTAAGAGTACGACAGTATGCCTGGCTATACCCTACTCGATTCTACAACATAGACTATACTATGCTGTACGATACTATGATATACGGTGGTGATATACTGTATTAACCCATTCTATGCCCCCTTGTTCTACCTTTCAGGGCTGTGTCATCAATCCCTATCAGCACCTAGACTACATTATAAAGCCCCAGTCTAATCGTTAAGGCCCCCGATTACTCGTATTCGCAGCCCTACAGAATATAGAAGCCTGAATAATTTGTATTACCGTTCGTTCGGCAAAACTCTGTTCGAATTGTTAAGGCCCCTATACTGAGCGCCTAGAATACCCAGAATCCTTAAAATAAGACCCCTGTTACAATTATACTTCCAGGGCTCCTAAGGTTCACGTCTGTGGTTCTGCTTCTCGAGGTCGAGTCTGACTTCACGGAAAGCTCTGTGGAGGAAGTCCGCGATCCTGGCAATGCGACTGACTCGCTTTAGGTTTTGAGAGTACACCCTAAACCCTAAACCCTAAACCCCTAAACCCTAAACCCTAAACCGTCAGGCATACCCTAGACCGACAACCCTAAGCCCAAATCCCTAAACCCGGAACCCGAAACCCTAAACTTTTTAGGGTTTGCATTCAGGGTTTAAAGTTTAACAACCTGAAGTAACCTCTGGTGTAAGATTTGCAGCTTAGGGCTTCACGACCTAGCCCTAAACCCTAAACCCTGAACCCCAAACCCTGAACCCTGAACACCCCTTAATTAAGGAATATAGCTTAAACCATAATACTAAGGCGCCCCCATAATTTAAGCTATATTCCTTAATTTTAAAGGGTATTGGGCTCTCTGGGCCTACCGAGGCAAGTCTCGAGTCCCACTCCATCGAAAACTCTCTGGAGCAAGCCCTAGAGCCGTACCTGGAGACCCGGCTCGGTTTAGGCTTTAGGCTTTACGGTGTAGGGTTTACGGTTTAGGGTTTAGGGCCTTTAGGGCCTTTAGGGGTTTAGGGTTTAGGGTTTAGGGCTTTGAGGAATGTTCTGGCTCTGGGCTTTGAGGTTTCTTCTGTTAAGCCCTAAGGGTCCATGTGCCCAAATAGTATATACATTGGCCCTAAAGTACCTATATAGGGACTACATGAAGGCCAAAGTATATACTATTTGGGTACATGGACCCTTAGGGTTACGCCCTAAACGCTGAACCCTTAACCCCCAGAACCTATTTGTTGTAAGAAATGGCTTTTTAAGGGTTCTATAAGGGTTCTGTAAGGGGTCTATGGCAGTATAGGGCCTGGGCCCTAGGGACTTTTAGGGTTGAGGCTTTAGGGTCTAGGGTGTGCCAAGGCTGACGCGCGGCTGCTTTCTGCCCGCCCGACCGACCCGAGGTTCGTCGTGCATTCATTTCATCTTTTTCTTCATTCTTCTTTATCGTACAACGACACAAAACACAATGTCAAGCAATACGATCCATATTTCGAGATTCAGACCGGCTTTACATCGCCCGGAAGTTCTTAAGTTGTTGCCGAAGGATGCAACTTAACATGCGCGCAGATGCTTGACAGCACATATTCAGGAGGTTGTCAATAGAAAGAGGAGCTCTGGAACCACAGTGCTACCAGCCATCCGATCAAACGCCGTGGAAATTCGCTGTGAACTTTTTGGTGCGATGAAAAATTTTGCGCGCGACGTCTGCGCACGCATGCGACATCGATGTTGTCCAGATTTTTCGAGCAGGGTGTTGGGCCGCAAAACATCAACAACAGCAACACGCTGCATACGGGAGAACGCATGTGGGGCAGGCCGGGCGTCTTGCCTGCGGGCGGGGGCGTGCCAAGACCTGCAGCAAACACAGCCTCCGCTCAGAAAAACCAACTGCAGTCGAACACCGAGTGACAACTCCGGAAGCAACTGCGGGTTTTAAGCGCTGGAATTTGAGTCTCAGCGTTGTGGCTGGGGATAATGTAAGTTTACGTACAGGGGTGGTATACGGTTGATGATGTAAATCTGCATTACCCATTATAAGGAATATTCCGTAATTCCCATAGTTTAGGGTCCTTACGGTAATGCAGGAATTATATCATCTTCAGTAGTATAGGGCTTTCATGCAGGGGACTGATGATTTCTGGTCTGCCAGAGTTCTCGGTTCTCGAGCCTAATTAAAGTCCAATGGACACTAAAAACTGCTATGCTACCAAAAGCCTGCGGAGCATAGTGTTGCTAGGGACCTATTTCGGGAACTGGACTGGCAAGGTAATATCGCGGGGTTTGCATCGTGGCTATACAGGGAGTCTAGACAGGTTTTGGTCCTTGACAACATAGTACCTTGATAACCTGTAGATCCCGAAATGAAGATGTTGTTGGGTTCCTTGCTGTGCCATGAACAATTGAGCTAAAGTAGGGGCCTGACCATTAGAATAGGTTTTGGGGGGTACATTATATTGTACTTACAATAAGGAACCCCCAACATAGTCTAGGTAATTATTAAGGCCCCTACATTGCCGGCAAATTCAAATTCAGGAGAGCTGTATTGAGATCCTGACGGCGATGGATGCCACCAGCCCAGATATCTGCCGCGGGATCTCAGTGCATCGGGCGCTGCAACGCGCACCTCGAAAGTGGGCGCGTGCAGACTTCGAGGGAATGCATGCTCTTAGCCAGAAGACGGCGCATTTTCACGAGTTCTGGTCCCACAGCTGGCGAACGAAGAACTGGTTGAAGTATCTGAACATCCTGTTCCTGAACAACAGTTTGCCGGCCTCCGTTGTTGGCACGGTGTGTGCCCTTCTAGCATTCTTCTTGAGCTTCACTGGGCTTCTGCCGGTTTGGGCAGGCGAAGAAACGGGATATATTTGGTGCACCCCTGCTGGAATATTTGGCTACTACATGGCTTTAGTGCTTTGGAGGTCACAGAAGCTCGCTTTCCTCGACGTTGCCTGCATACATCAGACGGATTCCAGCTTGAAAGCCGAGGCCCTGGTCAGCATCTCGGCTCTTCGGGAGGGTTGTTGGATCTTCCTCGTTTGATTTCTTTCAATTAGAGGTATACAACACACGTAGGGTGAATTTTGTGATAAGTTCTTCCAACCGCTGTGCTCATTTCAACCATCCGGTCGGTATAATATCAACCCTGAAACATGCTAGACAGATCGAAGTGAAGACCGTAAACCCTAAACCCTAAAACCCGACCCGAAGTTCCTGGCGATGAAGCCAGGCATGGGTGCTTTCCTGAAGAAGTCACAGTCGCTCCTGGTTCTCTGGGATGTGTCTTACGTGTCAAGGTGGGATTTAGTGCTCAGTGCCATGTTCAGTGGTTAGGGTTTAGGGTGTAACGCTGTATTCGTGCCTCCAAACCCTAAACAAAACCCTACCCTAAGGCTCATGGACCCCCATAGTGAAAGCCCAAACTTCAGCCCCCAAAGCCCAAACCTTCCCCTGGAAAGCCCATAACAGCAATAACAGCCTTAGGGTAAACCCTAAACCCCAAAAAACCCTAAACCCTAAACCCTAAACCCCAAACCCTAAACCCCAAAACCCCCAGAGACCGGCAGGTTTTCTGTAGAAACCATATAAAATCCTCTCGGACGCCTGAATCCTGAATGGCTCGAAACCCAAACCCCCAAGCCCACCAAAGAAACCCGAACCATTAAACCCAACGCTTACGGCACATGGACCATTAAGGTTGTGTTAGGCCTTCTGTTTCTGTGGACTCGTGCTTTTGTGGTTCTCCCTAAACCTTAGGCGCAAAAAGTCCTAATGGGAGAGATAAGAGACCCTAAACACGGAAGCCTAAACCCCTAAGTCCTGAATCCTAACCCCTGCTAAGGGATGCTTCTTATACAGACCTCTCTGAGAAGACATCCCTGACACACCTGAAGCTTCCCTTTCGGGTTTAGGGTTTTGGCTTTAGGCTTTGGGGTCTAGCGTTTAGGCTTTGGGCTTTAGAGTGTGGGGTTCAGGGTTTAGGGTTTAGGGCTGCGTCCCTGCAAGGTTGTGGTGCGTGTTTGAGATGGCGGCATTTCTGCACAGTAAGGGGCCGAAAGCCGCGACGTGTATTCAGGTGTGTCCAGTCTTCGTCGGCCCAGCTTTCTTGGCAGGGCATTTGGGATTCAGTGTGCTCGTCTTCGTCTTCCTCTGGCATTCTGGTGCCATAGTAGTACCGTGTTTTCGTATGTTTTTTTTGTTTCAGGGTGGGCGGGCGGGAGCTCTGAATATTCCCTGCATTAATGGTCCTGCGTTGCTTTATTTGCATAGGCATAGGACAAAACCCTAGATAAAGCACTAGGCCCTTATCATAAAACGCCATAGCAGCAACAGAAACTTCCTCATAGAACCTGAGGAAGCCAACCCAACAAATTCGGGCTTTTTCACCGTAAAACCTAAGTCCAAGTCGCAACTCACCAGCTGCCCACATCCTAAACTCGAAAATCCCTAAAGCCCCCACAACCCTAAACCGACAAGAAACCCTAAACCCGAAGTCCTTAACAGAGACTCACCCTAAACCCTAGGCCCTAAACTCTCCTGAACCCTAAACTCTAAACCCTAAGCTCTAAACCCTTAACCCTAAACCCTAAACTCTAAACCCTATCAACTATCCAAGTCTAGGTCGCAACTTCCCCTCATCCCCTGGGGTGGCCTCATTCTTGGCGGCCTCGCCCTGCCCTGCCTGGGGCTTCTGGCCGACTCTTTGTTCTCCAATACACAGAAACATTTGTGTATGTACATATATCACATATGTACATATGTTATAAATATACATACATACATATATATATATAGGTATATGGAGAGAGAGAGAGAGATACATGCATAGATGTATTTATCTGTATATACGCACACATTTATACAGAGATGGATGTACACATTAGTCATCACATCTAGCGTTCTTTCCATTTGTATGTGTATATATAGATAGATAGATAGATAGATAGATAGATAGATAGATCGGCCTATACGCAGGTTGGTATGTTATGAAATGATATGGCATGATCTGGTTTGATAAGATGTGATATGGTGTGACGTGATATGATATGTTGTTCCATGATGTGTTGATATGACATGTTGTGTTATGACATGGTATGATATGATAAGATTTACTTATACACACCGACTTATTCGCGTATATGTATGTTATGTGTGTACGTAAATTCTGATTTATGATGAATGATATCGGCTGTGTGTATGTATGTCTGTATGTATGTGTGTGTGTACGTATATATATATATATATTATCCATCTTCACATACACACACACACACACACGTATGTGTGTGCACGCGCTAGTTCGCGTATCGGGGTTCTTATGTTTTTGGCACTTTATTTCAACACGTTGTTGGCTTCTTGCTTTTGCGTTCGTGTGGTAGAACCTGCGTTGCTATATGTCTTCGTGTGTTGGCCTTGGGCTTCCGTATGATTGTGAGCCGTAAAACCCTAAACCCTAAAGCCCAAACCTGAGACCGAAAACAAGGACATGGTTCTTGCACACTGCCGCAGCATCGAGATGATGCAGCAACAGCTCCGACACGTCCTCAATGCTGTTTTAATGGCCCCGTATTCAGGGCTTAGGTTTTAGGGTTTAGGGCGGTTCAGGGATGAAAGGCCAACCATAGGACGTTGACATGGATTCCGGGGTACCTTCAACCCATCCCTAAAACAGCACTAAGGACACTTCACCTTTGCGCAGGCCAAGTCTTCGTGTTGTTCGGAAGGTCATATCGATCCCACCGGAGCGCCGATGATCTGCGATCGCAAGATCATCAGTCGCTGTATAACTGCTTGGTTCGGAGGCACAGAGCAGTTCGAGTCCGTGGTGCGAGGTCAGGTGCTGGCAGTTTTGGTCCATCAACTCTCCAATCATGTCTTCTCGTATTGGCGCATCTAGGTCCCACAGTAATTAGCCTTAAGCCCTTTGTGTTTTTGGAGTCTTCTTTTGAGATTGAGCAGTGGGAGAAGCGGTACCGTTATAGGTATACATACATATATATATATACATACATACATACATACACACATAGATATGTAATATAGTCGTATTTTCTCATCATTCTTGACATGGCTGCTACATAACTAAGACTGCTGATCATTATTGAGGGAATTGTCGGGAACCTAGGCATTGTTCATGTCGCAGCACCAAGCCTTTGGGCAATACTCGACGTTTGGTGTGACAACTTCGGTCGAGGTGCATCCAGCAACTTGGTGAATCTAAGCGAGCCGTTTTGCTTTGTGGTGGCTTGAATTTCCTCCAGGTTTTAAAAGGGAGTTTGAAAAGGATCCTTTTTTTGTAAGCGGGACATAGAGTAGATTCTTTAGCATTGTTGTTCTTGGTTGTGTCTGTTTCTGAACCCCTAAACCCTAAAACCACCTAAACCCACAACGCGAAGCTCCAAACTGCGCTTCCCCTACCGTGCCTGAGATTTCAGGTGTACCGACGCCATGGGAGGTGTTCAAAATGCTCTACGACATCATCGTTGTTTACCTCCTGTTGCTGCCTAGTATATGTTCGATTCTGCTGAGGTTAGCCTATGCAGCTCGCCACCTAGGAGAAACTTGGGTGATCTGTTAACTGTCAACTTTCTTTAGCTGTTGTAAAATTAGGTACAACCCAGGTTGTCTTTCTTCCGTAGGCCCTACACCCTAAACCCTAAAAACAAGTCAGGAATGGAAGTGCACGCAGGTGTTACTCGCTGTAGGGCTCATCGCAGTGGGGGCGCTGCTTTTGAGCCTCTATGTGGTTGTAGATGTCGTGATTCGCGATGTACTCCTTGGTGGTGGCGGGGTTCTTGTTCAGGAGCTTTCGTTAATTTGCTAAACTTGGGGTATACAGTAAACAATATGGGTTCCTTACAATGGTAACTTAGAATCAAGTTCTTTAACACGACCTAAACCCTAAACCCTAAAGAGCCCAGGGGGAGAGAACCCGCTGATCGCACTTGTCACCCTTCCATTGATGGGCCTGATCACCTGCTCCTTATGGCGACGTGGTACTTACGCTTGCATGCTTTCAAGTTTCTGCGCGCCTGAACCCCAAACCCTGCACCCTAAATCCTAAGCCCACACCTTAAACCCCAAACCCTAAACCCTAAGTCCTATACCCTAAACCCCAAACCCTAAACCCTAAGCCCTAAACCGAACCTCGTTTCAGTACGTTTAGATTTTTCCACCAATGCTGGGGCCTGGAGCTTTGAGCCTTAAGGCTCCTAACTAAGCCTAAACGGTTTAGGGCTCAGGGCTTAGCGCTTAAGGTCTTTTCTTTTAATTGTTTAGGCCGAAACCCTCATACTTAGAGGTGCGTGGCACTTGGCAACAAACTTTTCATGTTTGGATACATCATCCCTACGACGTAGCCAAAGCTACAGTTTTTTGCCAGGGTGCCAAGTTCAGCGTCGGACCCTATAGCAGTGTCGGACCCTATAGACCCTAAACCCCTACAGCCCTAAAGCCCTACAGCTCTCAGCCCCTAAACCCTAAACCCCTAAAGCCTAAAACCCCAAAGCTCTCAGCCCCTAAACCCTAAACCCCTAAACCCTAAAACCCCAAAGCTCTAAGCCCCTAAACCCTAAACCCTGAAGTATGATAAGGTTAGTTTAGGGTCTCTGGCCGGTCGACAACTGAGGTGGTGTCTGCCCGTGATTCGGATGCCAAAACCCGCCGTCGAATCCTCTCAAGCTCGTGATAGCCACGCGTTGCAGATCCCTGATATCTGAGGTTTAGGGTTTAGGGTTTAGGGATCCCTGATATCTGAGGTTCAAGCTGTTCAGAAGTTGGTTTTTATTTACAAGCTTTCTATACTCAGGAGTCCCTCCGTCAAGGTTTTCACGTCGACTTTCAGGGATCTACAGTTGGTGCTTTATATCCCAAAGGGTTCAACCTGTCCACTATCTAGGCGCTTCGGTTGAGCAAAGCAGTAGTAGTGGGTTACTATTTGGGGGAGTATACGATCATTAGGCACTTGGACCCCTAGGGTATTGTCCGAAACTTGCCATTGGACCTAATGCCAGGGTATGTTTTTCCTCCGGCCACATCCCTGCGGGTCTTCCCAGATCTTCCAAAATCCCTTGATTACGAAACATACCTAAATCAATCTAGTTTAAGGGCATAAGGATTCCTAAGATAAGCCCTGCGAAAGAAGACCCTTTAAAGGAGCTCGTAGAGGAGCCACAAAGGTGCGGTCCTTAATTCAGGGACATTGGAAGATCTGGCCTTGTCTTGCCCCACAAGAGTCCCAAGGATTCTCAAAGACGTGGTCTTCTACCAAGGCCCAGGATATGTAGTTCTAGGGTTTAGGGCTTGATGGCCTGTGTTATGGTTGGGGGTCTGTAGTACAGGATGACAAGCAAGGGTTTTAGGGTTTAGGGTTTAGGAAGAATTTGCGACAATCCAGGGTCTGGAATGTTGTCTGGTCTAGGCCAGGTCCCTCTGCGTCTAATGACAGCGAGCGTGCCTGACCAGATGTGCGAAAACGCCGATGAAATTCTCTGTTGTCAGGGAGGTCCCTGTAGTGATTTCGAAATACGAGGTAGGTAGTTCTAAGTTATATATTTATATGTGTTAATAATGCAACAGTTATACAAGTACATACTGCAGTTATATAGTTACAGGGATACAAATTTGCAATATTTTGCAGTTTTATAGATAGAGTGTACCATGCTTACTTGATGACGCAGCAACACAGCATGAAAAGTTGAACATGGTACAGCAAAAAATGTATTTCAGTGCGATACAAGGAACAGTGCAAGACCAAAGTGTATAATGGCGTGTAGCATGGCATCGCATGGCACGGCACGGCACGACACTGCGCTGCATAGGACATGACAGCATAATATTGTATGTTATAACTCAGCATGTAGCGCAATGCAGTGTAATGAGGGATAATTACGGTAGCATAAGGTGCAAGGTTGTGAAAACATTGCATGATGTTTTGGATCATGAAATATAGGTTAAGACAGTGAAAAATTGAAGTGCGATGTTACATATTGAGTTGTAAACCTCGATAGTGAAGTAGAACACCAAAGACTAAAACATATTGTTATTGTTATCCCAGGCAATGCGCAATAGCATTGTATGGTGAAGCAACATGCCCAAGGATAGTTTTACTGTTAAGAGAGAGACAGAGTGATTTTCTATCAAGTACCAAAGTAAAATGCCAAACACCATGGCAAAACAACGGAATACGACATCGTGCAAGTTAAAATTGTGCAATAATCCAGTGTTTATGTCGTGTATGATAGGCAAACGCCATGTACCGATAAAGGTCATTGAGATAAACCACTCTGATAACAGACTACACACCTTGGCATAACATAACACAGCATGTTAACACTTATGGTTTTATGCCAAACGGTCTTGTATTGTGAAATGCAGCGCAAGGCCCGCGCATGTCCAACACTGCAGTCTAGTGTAGCAGAACATAGTCTTCAAGTTTCGATATGGCCAGGGTTTAGGGTTCAGGGCAGTGCAACTTAACATGAAGTGGTGCAAACCCTATCCCCTAAACTCTAAACCCTGTAAACCCTAATCGTGTATTTTGACGCCAGCGAACATATTTGCCAGCCAGTCGGGATCTCTTAAAATGCTAGATGCGGCCGGGCAAAGCCCGTGCCTAAACGTCCAAAAGGGGCCCATGTACCCATGCAGTGTTTAGATTTTCGGGGGCTTTAGTTTGCTTTGGTGGCTTTGGAGTTAGAGTGCTGGGCTTCAGGGTTTAGGGGCAAGTTTTTGCAGAGTTTAGTTTTTATAGAGTTTAGAGGTCTTCGGTTCACAGGCACATGTACAACACCGTAAGCCTAAACCCTGAATCAAGTACTTGTTTTGCGTTTAATAAGACTCCGAAGTACCCTTTCACCAACCCTGCCGTCTCTTCCTGTGTCCTACATACCTTTAGACGCTAAACCCTAAACCGCACTACATGCCTTTAGACCCTAAACCCTAAACCTTTAAAGCCCTAAGCCCTTTAAAACCCTAAACCCTTTAAAGCCCTAAACCCTTTAAAGCCCAAAACCCTTTACAGCCCTATGTCTAGAAGCCTTAAAGGAGACCCTCCAGGAGCGCTGCGACGGGTGCATGGGCAGTTACCCTAAGGGTCCATGTACCTCTATAGTATATACAAAGGGTTCCTTCAAGGGTTCCTTTAAAGGGGTCCTTTAAGGGTTCTATAGGGTTTAAGGGTCCATGTACCTAAATAGTATATACATGGGCCTTAGAATGTAGTCCCTATATAGGTACTTTAGGGCCAAGGTATATACTATTTGGGTACATGGACCCTTAGGGTTAGGTTCAACTAGGTTCCCCAACCTTTTGGGCTTTTGGTTTTGGGGTTTAGGTTGTAGCCCGAAGAATCAAGGAATGCAAAGCTTAATTAAGGTGCAGTAAGATCCTTATATAACCCTAAACCCTAAACCCTAATTAAGACGATGTGGGTTTCGGGCTCCCCGACTAAAATCTAAGTAGCTGCATAAAGGGCAATCATTAAGGGGACACGGGCAAGAATCCTAGACTGAACACCCTAAACTCTAAACGGTTGAGGGTTTAGGGCACTCTAAACCCTAAACCCTAAAACCCTGAACCCTAAACCCTTCAACCCTAAACCCTAAAACTCTGAACCCTGAACCCTTAACCTTAAAACTGAACCCTCAACCTTTAAACCCCTCAAACTCTGAACCCTAAACCCTTATTGCGGGGACACCGGGGAACCTAGTAAACCTTTTCCATTGCTACGGTGCGATGCTCACCCCAAACCCCAAACCCTAAACCGCAACGGTGCGATGCTCAGACTTCTGAAGAAAAGTGGCCTCAGGAGCTGAGGGTCTGACTCTGATAGTTTTAGGGTGTTAGGGTGTTTAGGGTTTTAGGGTTTTAGGTTTCTTAGGGTTTTGGGTTTTAGGGTTTTTAGGGTTTCGGGTTTTAGGGTTTTAGGGTTTGGGGTTTTAAGGTTTTGGGTTTAGGGTTTTAGGGTTTTAGGGTTTTTAGGATTTTTAGGGTTTAGGGTTTTAGGGTTTTAGGGTTTTGGGTGTAGGGTGTAGGGTGTAGGGTTTTAGGGTTTTGGGTTTAGGGTTTTGGGTTTTAGGGGTTATAAAGGTTCCTCAATGGGTTCTGTAAAAAATCTAGAAGGGTTTATGGTTTGGGGTTGTAGGGCTCTAGGGCTCTAGGGCGCAGGGTTTAGAGATTCTAGGGTTTGGGGCTTTACGGTTGAGGGTTTGGGGTGGTAGGGCTTTAGGATGTTAGGCCCTAAGCCTATTCCCTAAACCCTAAACCCCTAAACCTCTAAATCCTAAATCTTAAACCCTTAAACCCCAACCCCTAGACCCTAAACCCCCTAAACCCTGAACACCTGAACCCTCAAACCCTATGATTACGTATCCCTTCAGGGTTTGAGGGGTTTGAGTTTTACGACTGAAGTTTGGGGCTTCGCGGGTTTAGGGTTTGAAGGTGTAGGGGTTTCGGGTTAAGGGTTTTAGGGTTTAGGGGTTAAAGGTTTAGGGGTTTAGGGTTAAGGGGTTTGGGGTTTAGGGTTTGTAGGGGTTGAGGGTTCAGGGTTGAGGCTCGCTTCCGCAATGCACGGTGAACCAAGCCCTCCATCGTGAAGATCCTCGCGTGTAGACCCCGTGTCGATTGGCAAATCTTCGAGGGGTATTGTTGTGACGACCCCTAAACTCCCAGGCCCAAAACCTCCGAAACCCTCGTAAACCCTTAACTCGATGGGGGGTTCATGAAGCACAGATCGACACAGACATTTTGGGTGTTATGCTTCAGTGTTTATGCTTTGAGAGGGTTTGCGTGGATGTTGGCTACGTGGTGTGTGAAATATCCTACACAGCAAATCCTGAACTCGAATCATCCAAAGGACTGTAATTTCTGGGTTGAAGGGTTCTACCCTCTATTTAAGGGGTCTTAACCTACTATTTTGTAGGGTTTGGGGTCACAGGTAGATCCTTGAAGGAGCCCTTCAGCGAATCCTATAGATCCCTTAAAGGAAGCCTTAAAGGAATCCTCCTCCGTTTCACAAATGGCAACGAGGTTTACCATGGGCGGCCACAGCTCCTTCTAAGGTTTGGGGCTTCGGGTTTAGGGTCAGGATTTGGGTTTTTTTAGTTGGTTTTTTGGGGCTAAACAGCCTAGAGCAACTCTAGAGAACAGTCTTTTCATCCTTGCGCTTCCTGGAAGGCCCCCACCACCCCGAAACTGCACAAGACCCGTAGAAGGATCATTCATCAGGAAACACCCCAAAGCACAAACAACCACAACCACTTATTTAAACAACCGAACAAATTCAGCAAATCCTAAGTCCTAAGTAAACACCTAAACCCCAAACCCCAAACCCTAAACCCCCAAACCCTAAACCCCAAGCCCTGAACCTTCGACTTCAAACGGTAAGAAGATCTGAAGTCCGTGCCCGGACAGAGGCCGTGGGTGGGAGCCCCAAAGGCGCGCCGACCGGCGCTACCCAGGCACCCTTCACACGGTTTAGGGTTTAGGGTTTAGGCTTCGGGTTTTGGGGAAAGGCTAATGAATTTGGGTTTGGGGTTACTTTAGGGGGTTTTCTCCGCCTTCTCTCCCTTCCCTCCCTCCCTCCCTCCCTCCCTCGCTCCCTCCCTTTGTTCGACTCTCTGGCAACAGCAGCACCGGCTCTTGATTGTCTGCCGCTAATAGCTCCAGAAATTTTGATATTTGGTGGTTAGGGTTAACCCTAAACCCTAAAACCCTAAAGCCCTAAACCCTAAACCGTGGTCAGCATGATGAAGCCCGAGCTCGCTATCGCGATCCAGCGAAGGCTTTGGATCGCCTGAGACATTTGGATCAGTACATTACGGTTTAGGTTTAGGGGTTTAGGGTTTAAGGTTTAGGGTTTGGGGTTTAGGGTTCTGTTGTTGCAGGCTATCGAGGAAACAAGGACGAATTATACGTCCTTGGAACAAAGAGTCGTTGCATTGGAGGCTCGCCTTCCACCGTGACACACCGTCGTCAGTTTTTGTTGTCCAAGGGCTCCTAGATGATAGGATTTGGTTTAGGCTTTGCTTGACACTTAGTCTAAGCAGGCCGACAATCCTTGTGAGCCCTGTTTCCGGACGAAGAACGTAGAGAAGACCGTGAAACTCCATCACGGAATACGGTCTAAGAAGCAAGTCCCAAGATCCTCCGCGTATCGCAATTTAGTAACTTAGTTATTCTTAAACCTACCTGTGACCCCAAACCCTACAAAATAGTAGGTTACGACCCCTTAATTAGAGGGTAGAACCCTTAAAACGGTAGGTTTTTGGATCCCCAGGTAAACCCCAAACGTCAAAGCCTAAATCATAAACCCTTGCGAAATTTGGGGAGCCGCGGATTTCTTCAGGCGGGTCTGTAGGGCTTAGGGGATTTAGAGATTTCCGGTTTAGGGTTTAGGGTGGGTTTGAATTAGGATTAGAATAGGTTGTGGGGGGTTCCTTATTGTAAATATAGTATAATTGGGCCCCAAAACCCTATTCTAATTATTAAGGCCCCTATTTTAGGGTTTAACTTTAGGCTTTGGTTGCAAAGTGGTAAACCCTAAACCCTAAACCCCTAAACCCTACACCCTAAACTGCCGATTGCTAGAGTCTGGTTGGGTTTATTGAGCTGTGCGTCCTGCCTTTCTCGATTTTTTGTGCAGGTCTTGTATGGGACCCTAAACCCTAAACATAGCTTCATCATAGCTTCATAGCTTCTTAGTGCAATCCTAAGCCCTTAGCCCAGCACTGAACCCTAAACCCTAAAACACTAAGCCCTAAACCAATGTCAGAGTTTGCACTGTAAGGTTTGGGGTTTACGGCTTGCCTATACCCTAACCATAACCGTACGTGTTAAACCATAAACCGCTAAACGCTAAACCCTAAACCCCAAACCGTTGAACCCTAAACCCTAAACCCTTAAACCCTAAACCTTAAATCCTAAACCGTAACCCAAAACCCTAACCCCCAAGCCCCAAAGCCCCAAAACCCCTAAACCGTTAAGCCCTTATAACCCCTAAACCGTTAAACCCTAAACCCAAAACCTTAAACCCTATAGACCCTAAACCTTAAACCCTAACCCCTAAACCCTAAAACCCGAAAAACCCTGAACCCCAAAGCCCCAAAATCCCTCAACCCTATAGATCCCTTATAGATCTTAAAGGAACCCCTAAACAGGAACCCCTAAACCCCAAAATAACCCCGAAACCTAAGGCTCGGTCGAGCCGGCCCGACCGGGCCCTGATCCCTTAAAAGCCATAGCAACAAACCTTAGGGTTTTAGGGCTCAGGGTTTGGGGTTTTGGGTTTGGAGTTTTGGGTTTTAGGGTTTTGGGTTTTGGGTTTTAGGGTTTTGGGTTTTAGGTTTGGGGTTTGGGGTTTTGGGGTTTTGGGATTTGGGGTTTTGGGTTTGGGGTTTGGGTTTTGGGTTTGGGGTTTTGGGTTTAGGGTTCAGGGTTTAGGGTTGACTTAGTCTGGTTTTAGGACTTAGGGTTTGGGGGAAACCCCCATAACCCTAGAATTAAACCCTCATACCATCACCCTATAAGCCCACATACCCAAAGCCCCAAAGACTCTAAACCCTAAACCATTAAACCCTAAACCCTAAACCCCCTAAGACCCTAAACCCTAAAGCCCCTAAGACCCTAAACCCTAAACCCTAAAGCCCCCAAACCTCAAACCCTGAAGCCCCTAAACCCTAAACCCTAAATGCCGAAATTCGAAGCAAAATACAAAGCCAGGTCCCGTCCACGCCGGACTTCTCTGGCATCGTACCTGAGGCAACGGGCTTTTTAGTTTTTTCGGGCTTTTAGGGTTTAGGGTTTAGCGGTTGAGGATTTAGGGGTTTAGGGTTTAGGGGTTTAGGGGTTATTAGTTCTTTCGGGCTTTTAGGGTTTAAGGGTTTTCGGTTTGGGGGCCGAGAGTTATGTAGGACCTTCTACCCTAAACCCTAAATCCTAAACCCTAAATCCTAAACCCTAAACCCTAAACCTACGCCTTTAAACCGAAAGCCGTCGACCGCAGGTCGTAGGCATTAACCGGATATCCCAAAGTCCCCGTGTACCCTTATAGTACCCAGAGAGCCCAATACCCTTCAATTAAGGAATATACCTTAAGTTATGGGGGCCTTAATATTATGATTTAAGGTATATATTCCTTAATTAAGGGGTATTGGGCTCTCTGGGTAGATACTTAGGCCTTAAAGGGGGTTCCGATATAGGTACTTCAAGGCCCATGAATCCACCAAAGAGGTGCATGGAGTGTTAGGGTGTGTGATGCCATCCTAGTGAGTCCTAATGCCGAGAGATGAAAAAGAAGTTAGGGGACACCCTAAACCCTAATCCCTAAACCCTAAACCCTAATCCCTAAACTCGACATTCCCAAACTAGCATGCTTGGCTTTAAACCCTGCAGTCTGCACCTTAGACCCGAATCCTTGTGCCCTAAAAGCTACCTGTGACCCCAAACCCTACA